GAACCATCCTTGCATTGATATAGGATGAACTTTTAATTGGCTGTAAATTATTTTTTTGAAAACTGCTAGATGTTTTAATTAGGCAGATTTTTTGAAGGAAAATGATAAGATAACCTATTCATAGGAGTTGGTTAAGTAGTTTTTGAGAACATTTTAATTTTAAGGGGGCATTAAATTTTACTCATTTCCTGGGTGCTAGAGAGATGGCTCAGTAGTTAAGAGCACTGACTGCTCTTGCAGAAGATCTGGGTTCAATTCCCAGCACCCACATGGTGGCTACAAACTGTCCATAACTCCAGTTCCAGGGGAATCTGAAGCCTTCTTCTGACATCTGTGGCCTTACATGACCTGGGTGCACTCACATACATACAGGCAATACATTCATACACATAAAATAATAATTAAAAAATATATAAAAATTTTATTCATTTCCTTTGATTTTAATTAGTTATGATTGACAGAAGACTCTATACTTTCTAGATATTTTTTTTTTGTGTGTGTGTGTGTGTGTTTCCCTCAGCCTCATAAATGCTGAGATTGTAGACTTGGTCCTCATCACATCATTGTCTCCCTCCTCACATTTTTATTAGTTCTTTGAGAATTTCATGAAACATATTTTGATCATATTCATACCCACTTCCCCCAGTTCCTCCAAGTCCACCCACCTTCCTTACCCACCCAACTTTGTGACTTTTTTAAAAACCCTTTTTGTGTTGCTCATATACTCTTTGGAGTTTGGTCCTACACTGGAAAGCAGTCGACCTACACAGGTACCTCTCTATTAAGACAAACTGGCTACCTCTCTGAGCAGCTATAATATGCCAGTAGCTCCTCATCTGGGGATTGGGTATCATGCTCAACTCCTCTCTCCATGTTGGGATTTTGTCTGGTAGTCTAGTAGTATTTTCTTGGTCAGGTTTCTTATCTGTTGTATATGTACACATGGTTTGCCATATGTATATGATATTTATACTTCTTAAAATGTTTTTCAATGTTAAGCAGCTTTATTTTATTTTGTAAAAACTTGTGCATGCTTTCACAAATTCTGTGAGTTTGTATGTGTGCCTACCTTCTCCCCAGAAAACACTCCTGCTCATAATTTTCCATTCTGTCTTCTGCACTGATTCCTGACACTTGGGAGGAGAGAGTGTGATTTATGTGTCCTATTTAGGACTAAGTAATGTGCATTCTCTTATTCTCTATTGCTCAGCCAGTTGTGGGTCTCTGGGTTAATTGCCATCTATTGCCATAAGAGGCTTCTCTGATGAGGACTGAGAGATGCACTAATTTATGGTTATAACTATACTTCCTTGGGTTTTGGTTTAATACTATGTTTATTTAGCTAAAAAATAGTAGTTTCTCCCCTAGGGCCTATGAACTCCTTAGCCAGAGGTCTTTGACCTGGATAACAGTGCCAGATAAGGGTTTAATGCAGTAGAGTAGGCTTTAAATCCAAGCAGAAATGTTTAGTTACTCCCGTGGCATTCATGTCACTATTCTGCCAGTAGTGCAATAGGTCCTATAGACTCCCAGATATTACAGGCTATTATACATCTTCTTGGTCACCCCCCAGAACTTTACGCTAAGACCCTATTCCTGAAGACATGATATATTTAAGTAATCGTACATGGAGGAACCAAGTTGTTTAATGAGGAAGCCTCATTCTCTACTGGCTAGCTTCTGTGGTGCTAGAAGGTGCTTTATTTGTTCCAAAGCAGAAAATCACTCATCAGTCTTATTTGAGCATCATCCCTGAGAGCTATCATGATACCTTATTTTCTTTCAAAGTAACATTTGAAATTTTTTAGAAAAACTTTATTTAGTGTGTATGCCTGTGTGACATCATGTCTTCTATGGCATGTCTCTAGAGGTAAGAAGACAAATTCTGTCCTACCATGTACATTTCAAACTCGTACTCAGGTCATCAGAATTGGCAGCAAATGCCTTTACCTCCTCAGCTATCATGCTTGCTCACATTTGAAATCTTTTCTCTTTTTTTGTAATTTGCTAAGAATACACCATTACTTTTCATTTTTTGTTTGTGATATTTATTTTGTGGTGATTATGACACCCAAATCAAAATGCTTGCTAGGCAAGTATTCTACCATAGAGGTACATCTAAGGCTGTAACATTAAAAAAGTTCACACCTGATAAAGCAGTATAAATTTTTTGTAAGCAGCTATCAAATTATGAAAGAATTTGGTAATTATGCATATAAATGATTATTCCAGATAATCTGGAATGTTCATCATAGCAAAATCATACCATAAGAGAATTTCAGAAATTTCATCACAAAATTAATCCATAGGTAAAAAATTTGGTATAACTTTTTCCATGACTAGAGATCATTTTCAGACTACACCTATGTAGTGTCAGTTTTTATACTTCAGTGTCTTTGGATATACTCTGAAAGGTAAATTTAAGCTACTGAAAAACCTTATTGCTTTCTTGTATGTTTTTAGTGACCTAATAAAATTTTCTAGTACCTTGGGACTGGAGAGGTGGTTCAGTGGTTAAGAGCACTGACTACTCTTGCAGAGGAACGGAGTTCAAGTCCCAGGACCCACATGGTGGCTAACAACCATCTGTAACTCCAGTTCCAGGGGAACTGGCACCTTCTTCTGACTTCCGCAGGCATTGCATGACATGGGTGCACCTAAGTACATGTAGGGAATACATCATACACATAAAATAAAAATAATACATAATTTTTAAGTTCCAGTACCTTGATGAATGTGCTATTAGTGTTAATTTTTTGATTATTAAGTTTTTGTTCATGCTAGTGTTGGTTCCAGACCTTCACATGTGCTAAGCTTGGACTATACCACTGATGTATATTTTCAGCTCCTGCATTCCATTTTGCATTTATTTAGAAGATTATCCATTAGTTATAAATGAAATAGTAGAATGCAAGATAATTAAATGAAAAATTTGATGTTATGGCATTTTCAACAATTTGTTAATCTTTTGCAGTGTTAAATTGTTACTGCCTGCTTGTAATTTGGTGTGGGGCCATCCACCTTAGGCTAGGCAACCTACCAGTGGCCACACTCCAATGAAAAATATGACTCATTTTCCCCTAGCAGGCATCAGTTGTCAGTAGTTCCTGAGCTAAGTACTGATCCTCATGAATCTCTCTTTAATCTATCCTGGAATATTAATTGGTTTGATCTTACATTATAGGTCTTTTTCAAAGTATAAGTGCTATGTTTTACACAGCATGAGTGCAATGGCCATGTCCTGTCCATGACACTCCTTCCCATCTTTAGGTGCTTAAATTCTTCTGCACACTGTTGTGCAGTGTTTTTTCCTTGAGCCTTGAGTGTGTGTGTGGGGGGGGGTTTCTATAAATGTCCCATTTGGTATTTACAGTTTATAAAATTTGTCAATTTTGATGACACAATGAGTTACATTGGGGTTGCTAAGAGGAGCATTGTCCTCTCTCTCTCTCTCTCTCTCTCTCTCTCTCTCTCTCTATATATATATATATATATATATATCTCAGTAAAGAAAATGCCCCTTTGCCAGCAACCATTATGCCCATTCATATATACTGATGAACATGTTATGAAGCATTAGTAGTATAATATATACTAATAGAAAAACCCTGTTTTCCAGTTTTTGTGGATATTTAACAAGTGGTTCTGGGAAAAATATGCTGATCATTGAAATGATGGGTGACAGTGTCTTTCTATTTTTGTTAAAGGATGCCTGTCATTAGATTGATTTCATGTGTCTAAATTAAGGGCCATGCCCCATCACATCTAAGTTGCATAAATGCTCATTTTTCATCATTGACTTTTTGCTTACTATACTTTTTAGAGAATGTTACTGTCAGTTATTTAATCCAGAAGTGACCAGTGCTTTAGAAACTCGTTCTGTAGTTTCAAACACAGGATCTTGTTGCCTTAAGCTCCTGCATATTGGGATTAAATATACACAATCAAAATGAGCTTTTTGTTCCAGAAGGATAATTTTTATTTTGATATAAAGTACACAAAGTGTTGTGTATTGCTCATTTTAGTAGGAAGTTGTTTTTCCCTTGGCTTTTTAACCTACTGCATAGTCTTACATATTTTGATTTTTAAGAAATATTTTATCATTTGTATTTTACTTCTCTGAGTACATTATTGTCTGCAAGTATGTAAGTGCATTCCTGTCACACAGTGATCACGGAGGCCAGAGAGGGCTTTGGATCCCCATGTTGTTAGCTACCATGTGGATGCTGGAAATTGAACCAGGTCCTCTACAAGAGCAGCCAGTGCTCTTAACCACTAAGTCATCTCTCTAGCCCCATAATTTGATTATTAACTCTCTTTATCAGATGTGTAGTTTTCAAGTATATTGTCCCATTCCACAATATTTCTTTACTGTCTATTGTTTTCCTTTGCTATGCTGAAACTTCTTAGACTAATGCAGCCTGATGCTATTGTTCATATCTCTTTTTTTTCACATATCTCTCTGCCTGGAGTTCATGTTCTTATCATTCTTTCCCCAAACCAATACAGACACATAGTTTAAGAGTCATGCTTCAGGGAAATCCTTTTTCTGTGGGCTAGCCTATCATGCAAGGGGTACACGGTGAGAATCTGCATTCTTTATTTGAGAAAATTCATGATATATGTTTTTCTGAATCTTTTTTTTTAACATGGTAAACTCTAGTTCCATCCATATTTCTAAGAATGCCATTTCATTTTACTTTATAGCTGAATAAAACTCTATTGTATATATGTGCCACATTTCTCATCCAGTTATCTCTTGGACATCTATGGGGAATAGATGCTTATTTCTGAATTTTGTTATTTAACTGTTGGACTCCTTCTAGAATTAATTTGATATTAGAAGTTCAGTTCCTTAATAAGGTGTCATTTTTCTCTTCCTGTGTTATGCATAATTTAATTTCATGCAAACCCACTTAATAATCCTTTGGATTATTTCCTTTCACTAAGCCTATGTCTTAAAGAATTTGCCTACATTTTCCTATGGATTGTTTCTTTAGGTTACTGGATCAGTCTCACAAATTGATGGATAAATTGATGAATGCTGAAATGGATCTATACATTAGTGGCAGGTCAGTAAATCAAGGGACTCAGAAATAGTTGATAAGAAAATGCATGTTGTGTATGGATGGATGGTTGCATGCAGAAATGCATTTTGAATAGAATTAAAGGAATGCATATTTGAGTGTTAAATAAAATATATTTATTTACACATGTTAATCCAAGTGTATAATGAAATATATATGTACATATATGTATTAAATATATATATTCACACACACGAAGTATATTGAGGGTTTGGGTGTAGATAAAATGAGAATTCCAAAAGAAGTGAAAATAAGTGGAAAAATGGATGAAGTGACTAAGATCTGCTTAATAGCGTATGAGTCAGGTAACTCAGGAGAGTCTTAACTTCTTAACCATAGTGACCTACACATGTGTTTCTCACAGTCAGTGTCATGTTGATTTATAGGGGTCCTGTACTTATATTAGTCATTCATGCTAAATATGACAAAGACAGTAAAGTTTCATTGTTCATTGTGAGTTTCAGAGATAACAGGTAAAGCCTGTAATTTTTCTATAAAGTAATCACATGGAGTCCTGTTGTTGTAGGGATTTGTGAAGTGTGTTGCCTTTTAAAGAAAAGATAAATAATATTTTAATACATTTAATAATGTATTAAAGATAAATAATATTTTAATACATTTAGTAATGTATTTCACAATAAGTAAATTCGAACTGGGAATGGTGGCATGTACACACCTTTAATCCTTGTACTTGGGAAACAGAGTCAGGTGGATCTCTGTGATTTATTTTTTTAGGTCATCCTGGTCTACACAGTGAGTTCCAAGCCAGCTAGGACTGTATAGTGAGACCCTGTCATGAGCAAAACTAAACAATTTTCTCATAATTAAGATGGCTGATGAAGTAAGTGTTGGATGTTGTAATTAGCTTGAATTAATCTTGCATGGGAAACTTCTACCCCCTAGAAGATATTGAAGGCTCTCTAATTGCAGCAGAGAATATTTTATTAACCCTTGTTAGCTGATCACTTACTCCTTTACTTACAGACTCCATTTTTGCTTTCTGGATCATTTTCTCATTCACTTTATGAGGGATGCAAGGGGGATAGTTATATCATCTGAGGGGTTTATGATTATAAATCTTTATAGAGTTTAGACTTAAGTAGTCATTTTTTTCATGTATATTTTATTTATGTTTGTGTGTGTGTGCATGTATGCATGCATGTGTGTGAATGTCACATGTGTCTGGGTACCCAAAGAGACCAGACAAGCATTTTTATTCCCTTCAAGCAGGAGTCCCAGGGTGTTCTGAGCTGCCTGGCATGGGTGGTAGGAACCAAGCTAAGGTCCTCTAAAAGATTAACAAGTGCTTTTAATCACTGAGCACTTGTTTTTGTTTATTTGCTTGCTGATCCTAGAGTTTAGTGATAGAGATCATGCCTAGAATATGCAAAGCCCCGGGTGACATCCTTAGCTCCATACAATGTTATAAATGCATAGTCTGCCATGTTCTTATATCTTCAGTGGACTATATATTTCTCATCTGTTTTCTGTTGTTCACATAGAAACATGTCGAGGTGAGACTAAAAAAAAAGGAAAGTGCCTTGGAATAGCTAATTGCCATGTTGAGCAAAGGTGCCATGAGTGCCACTAATATATATATATATGTGTATTATGAGCAAATTTTCTTGTTATGAAAATTTGAGTTCCTTATGGTTTCAGATTGACTGAATAACAAGCTTCATAGGAGACTTCAAGATGAATGATTGAAGAATTGAAGATTTGGCAGAGAGTAGTATTGCTTGTAGTATTGCTTGTAATCTCAGCACTTAGGAATCTCATTCCGGTGGGTAAGTAAGTTCAAGGCCAGCCTTAGTGTGACTCTGTTGACACAAACTAAGTAATGAAAAGGGATAGATTTCCACTTAAAGTTTAAGAATAGTTGATAATTGGGGACTGGATAGATGACTGAGGAGTTAGTTAAGAGCAGTTGCTGCTCTTCGAGAGGACTTGTGTTCGTCTCCCAACAACCATATCAGGCAGCTCACAACTGCTTGTGTCTCTAGTTCCTGGGGTAGCTGACCCCTGTCCTCCACAGGCACCTCCACTCATATGTATAGACATAAACACAAAATTAAAATAAACTGAAATATTTTTAATTGATAAGGGGCTACAGAGATGATTCAGAAGTTTGTACTCCTCTTGTAGAAAACATCAATTCAGTTCTCCTTACCCATGCTGAAGGCTCACACCCACCTCCAACTCTTGCCCCTACCTTCTAAATTCTGGGTAGTCACCCTCCATACTTTATTTATGTAGTTCTCGGGATCAGTCTAAAGCTTTGTGCATGCTAGGCAAGTGTTCAACAAACTGAAATATAATTTGGAGCCTGTTGTGTTTCCTTGCACCTCTAATCCCAGTATTCAGGAAGCTGAGATAGGAGGATCATTGAGCGTTTAAGGCCATTTTAAGCTATATAGTGAGCTGTGAAGTGTGCCTTCCACCATGGAGGCAGCGATGGTAACTGACACCTCTAATCTGAGGGTTCTGAGAACTGAAGGTCAGCCTGAGCTAGATAATGAATTCCATGTCAGCCTGAGGCACAAATCGAGACCATGTATTAACAAATAATATATAAATAATAAAAATCTAAAAAAAATTGTGTGCACTTTTGGATGTTGATGAGTAAGGCAACTTCATTAACTGTTTATATTGTGGTCATAGTATTTTCGGCAGCTTTTTGTAAAGTTTTCTCTGTTTAAGAAGAATTTCAAGGGGCTGGAGAGATGGCTCAGCAGTTAAGAACACTGGATGTTCTTGCAGAAGACCCGGGTTTGAATCCTAGCACCCACATGGCAGCCAACAATTGTTACTCCGGTTCCAGGGGATCTGATATCCTCTCTGTCCTCCATGGGCATTGCACAACACGGGTGCACTTACCTACATGCAGGCAATACACACACATACACATAAAAATAATAAATAAAAATTTTCTTTATAAAAAGAAGTATTTCAGCTGAGTATGTCAGTATATGCCTGTTTTCTCAGATAATAGGGAGGTTCATGTAATTCTATTTGATTCCAGGCTGGGTTACATACAGCAAGCCTCTCTCAAAAAGCAATGTAAAACTCAGATGCTTAAGAGCATTTCCTTTCTGTGTTAATCCAAATCAAGGTGCTTAGTTTTTGTAGGCTTTAATTTTCAAAAGTGTTGGCAAACAGCATGTCCTACTGTTTTGTGCTGGATAGCTTTAGTGTCAACTTGACACACATGGGTTGAGGAAGCCTCAATTGGGGAATTTCCTCCATTGGACTGGCCTGTGTCCATGTCTGTGGGGCATGTTGAGTGATGTAGGAGGGCCCAGCCCACTGTGGGTAGTGCCACCCCTGGGCAGGTGGGCCTGTGTTGGATAAGAGAGCAAGTTGAGCAGGGGCCAGGGGAGCAAGTCAGTAAACAGTGATCCTCCATGGCCTGCGCTCCAGTTCCTAGCTGTAGGTTCCTGCCCTGAGTTCCTACCTTGGGTGCCCTGATGAACTGTGACCTGGGAGATGTAAGACAAATAAACCCTTTCCTCCCCAAGTTGGTAGTGGTCAGGGTGTTTTGCCACAGCAATGGAGAAACAAACTAAGACATGTATACAGCTTTGTTATTTTATTTATTTATTCATTTATTTATTTTATTATTTATTTATTTTATTATTTGTTTGTTTATTTATTTATTTATTTATTTATTTATTTATTGGTCTTTTTGAGACAGGGTTTCCCTGTAGCCCCAGCTAACCTGGAACTTGCTATTAGACCAGGCTGGCCTTGAACTCACAGAGATCTCCCTGCCTCTGCCTCCTGGGTACTGGGATTAAAGGTGTGCACCACCAAGCCCAGCTTATTTTAGATTTTTTAATTTATTTTTTTATTTTATGTTTCTGTGTTTTGCCTGCTTGTATGTTAGTACATGCCAATGTTTGTGGAGGCCAGAAGAGGGCAGTAGATCTCCTGAAACTGTTGTCAGTATTGGCTGTTTGCTTCCCTGTGGGTCTTTTGCAAGAGCAGCCAGTGCTCTTAACTGCTTAACTGCTGAGCCATCTTTCTAGCCTCTTTTAAAAAATTGTTTGTTTGTTTGTTTGTTTGTTTGCACAGGATCTCCCTGTTGCCCTAGCTGACTTGGAACTAGCTATATAGAACCAAGCTGGCCTTCATCTCAGAGATCCTTCTGCTTGTTCCTTCTGAGTACTGGGATCAAAGGTATGTGCTTCTATCCTGGGCTTGTTTGTAAATTTTTGTTCAGTATGATTTGAATCTGTTTTGGTAATATTTGAAGATCCATTATATCTTATTTGAGTTATACTAAAATTATAAAATTTCAGATGTGGAGTGATTTTCAGCCCTAATAGAAGAGATAAAATGTTCTTAAATTTTGCTATAGTTTTCCAGGAGTATTGTGTAGAACTTGATTTATTGTCTTTATTCTTGTTAGAGTATGTGGTTGTATCTAATGTTGTACAATATAGTCCTAGCTATTAGGATGCTGACACACGAGGACTGCATGTTTGGGGCAGCTTGGGAACAGTGAAGACCCTTCTCCCATCTCACAAAGAAAAAGATGATACTATCTGAACATCATGTATAATCTTTTATTTGCTTAGTAAATTTAAATTTATCTAATTGTCAGTAAGCGTTTTCAAATATACCAATGATAGTTGAATGAAGCAAGAAAGACAGGTCAGGGAAAATGTGAAAGATGAACAACAAACCATTAGAGCCAAGTCAGTATTTGACATTGGCTACAAGTAGCATGCGTGCTAATGACAGTTGTAGGTTTAAATTAGTTTCATGTCCATGATTTTATACATTGCTTATAGTACTGTAGACAGAAGGTGAGAACATATGTACTGAGGTGGAAGAATATACTTTTTTAATTTAAAATTTTTTTAATTTATTTTGATTTTATAGTATTTTATTAGTATTTGATTTTATTAGTATTTTGCCTGTATATATGTAAGTGCACCATGTGTGAATTGTCTGTTAAGGAGAGAAGACAGTGTCAGATCCCCTCGGACTGTAGTTACAGACCAATGTTACTGCCATGTCGGTGTTGTTTACCAAACCTGGGTCCTCTGCAAGAGCAGACAATGCTCTTAACAGCTGAGCCACTCCTAACACCAAAAGTATTCTTACTAACCTTTCATTTGATGAATGAGTAAATTGTTTTACATATTTTTAAATACTTTTCATTTCCTTCACGGGCCTCTTTTTTACAAGCAAGTACTGAAAATATATTTGCTACAGGTAAGATCACTGAGGGATAGATTCTGATTTTTAAATTCTTCTTGCCCTCATTAATGATAAATAATTACTTTCTGAGTTGTTAAAATTTTTCGTTTCTTCTTCATGATCATACATTATGACCATGTGTTATTTTAAATTATATTTAATTAAAACTTTATGTTATTTCTCGACAAAATTTCATGCAAGTGAACTTTGGATTGCAAGTGATTTCTTACCCTTTAAATCACCAGAAATTTAATATTAACTTCTAGGAAATCAGAAAACTAGGTATTTTGTTGTTCCTCAGAGACAGGATTCTCATTATATATCTCAAGTAACCTGGAATATATAATCCTTCTGTCTTAGGATACCAACTCTTGGCATTACAGGCTTATGCCAACACTTCTGACTTGATTTGAATTTCAAAAAAACTTCTATGAAGTATTGCTGAATATAGAGTGTATTTTAACCCTTTACCTGATATATGTTAGCACTAAGAATGTAAATATGCTACACTAGGTCGAAGAATGAATAAGACAATAAATAATATTAAAACAACTTAGAATCAAAAATTGGTTCTGTAATCAGCAAATACAAGAAGAAAATTAAAGTTTCATCATTTTCATATATTTTTACTGTTTGGGAGTTAATTAGCCATCAGATTTGGAAGTTGTTTTATGGAGTAGTGGTAAATTCTTAAGGATTTCTATCACAAAGCAGATAACATTTTATTTTCCACTTGCAGTGTCCTCTAATTCTCCCAGGTGGTGACCATCAAAGCAAGTACATGAAATATTCCCTCTGAAGATATTCCATCCACAACATCTCCCAAATACTGTTGCTATTAATCCTTTCTGGGATCGCTCTGCATCTTTATCATCTCACACCTTGTAGAGAAGACTTCCAGGAATAGAAATGAACTACTTTGGCAAGTAATTGCCTGAAATGCTTAGAACTTCTCTGTTTTCAGTATATCTTGTACTTTCATGTCCTGTTATATATCATTGTATTTTTTTTCATTTTACTTTGCAAATGGAAGAAACTTTTATGCATGGGGAATATAATTAATGTAGCACATAGACATTTTTATTATACTGCACATGGCAGCAAGATTTTCTCCTTAATTGAGTTTCCCCTGTGAGCCAGTTTTGTTATCAAAAAACTCAGATTTTAGGCAGGCCATAAACATGAGGGTCTTATATGTATTGTCTTATACACTGCTGTTATCTAGAGGAGATGCTCTACTTGCTGTTTTTGTTGACATTGCTGGTCTCTGTCTGGCCAGGGATATGAGAATGATGAATTTAACCCTTCTCCTATACCCAATCCTCAGACTTGACTGTCCTTGTAACTGTGAGCATGTAAAGGAGTAGTATCCATGCATTGGCAATTAGAGCTATGATGTTGGTAACTTGTAGAATATGTGGGGTGGTAATTTTCTTGGTATCACTTGTATTATCTTTTGGTTGGAGTGAAATCTCATTGTATTAAAGATTATCATATTATGTTTCTCTTGTTTCTGCTTATAAATAAAATATTATGTATTTGAAATATTATCTATTTCTGGATCATAATCTATACTGCTCATCAGGAAAGTACTAACTTCATTTCCCAAGCTTTCTTACTAAAATTTTACCTGGTGGTATCCACTAATATGCCATTGTTAACAGTTAAAGCAATTGCTAAAATTTTTTTTCAAAGATTTATTTTTTAATTTTTGATTATGGCATGTATGTCTGTGTGGGGTTATGTTCACATGAACGCAGGTGGTATGTTCACATGAGCATAGGTGTCACTGAAGGTGAAAGGACTGTGTTAGGGGAATTGGAGTTACAGGCAGTTGTGACATTCCCAACGTGGGTGCTCTTAATTGCTAATCCATTCTCTTTTTAAGGGTATATAGTAATTCCTTTCTTGAAAGTCTGAAGTTTCACTGACACAAGATTTAACAGGGGACAGCAAGGTGGTTCAGCTGGTAAAGCACTTTCCACTGAAGCCAATGAACTCAGTTTGATCTCTAGAACCAATGTAAAGTAGAATAAGTGATCAGAAGATTTCATGATAGAAAAAAAAATCTCTGACATATATACTGACACCCATATTGCTTTTCTTATATTATTCATATATTTCAGCTAGATTCTGAGATATGGCTTGTATGCTTTTTGTAATTTATTTTACATCCACAGAAAGTACTTGTATTGTTAAATTAATGTATCAGTTTATCTCTTTTGTTAATCTTATCCAAGCTCAAATTGATGTTTATTCTAATCAGCAACCTTGACAGTGCATAATTCAAAAGATTATACAATAATATGTTGCTTTGTGCTAGGGCTCAGCAAACTTTGTGTGTAACAAACCAGACTGAGACCATATTGTTACAACATGAATCTCTGTTCTTGAGGGGGACAGAACCTATATCCTAGTAAACAGTTACAGAACACAGATACAGGGCCAGTTTTTTACTTTAGCATATAGTTTCTTACTCCTATCCTAATACATAGATTTAACTTCACCCAGAGGATCTTGGGTAGAGACTGAAACAGAAGGGGCACAAATAATATTTTCTTTGTAACATCACCATTCTAAATCCTTGACATAATATGAAGTTTCATCAATAAGTGAGAAAATATATTAGCCTTTGGATAATTGGTTCTTGAAATATGTGATTTTTTTTTCCTTAACCATTTTTGCACTTGGGATTTTTTGCACATTGAAACATGGCCACCTATAATGATTGAAAAATTTGGTGACACGTCCATCTGTGGTCATTCACCTTCCATTCATGTTTCCCTGTAATAATAAGTTAACCTTTTGTGGTATATATAGTAGTCAGTAACCTTTCTAAGTTTATATAAATTTATGTGAAAATTTTAGATATGTGGTCTTTATATTAGTGCCTTTTAACTTTTTACAATATGTCATAGAGGTATTTCTA